TGTCATGATAATAAACATTACAAGTACCATTCTTACTCGCCCGTGGCCACCTCCTTCAGCTCCGACTTCAAGCTTCCAGTGGTCGCTTCCAGGACTCGTTGCGAGGCGGTGCATTGGTTCACTTCCACTCCTCGCAGGCACGGCGGCAACGGCGGCAACGGGATCCAAACATCAAGTCACCTTGGTTTTTAAATGGCAAAAATGGGGGGTTGAACAACAATCAAAATTGATTCAACATGATTTGAGATATTTGAGTATCAAGCACACATATGCTTAAGTCATGTCAGGTCTAAGTATAATGCCATTTCTCTTACATCAAATGCGTCTCCACATGGGTCCCCCATATTCAGGATAGGTCTTTACCTTAAGACATAGAGGGGAAACTAACGATTCATTTAGGGACTGTGGGTTTTTGATATAATTAATGGGTCAAATTGCATGTGTTGTTTTTTAAATACGATATGCTTTTGAATTTTTGTGCCATCAAGAGAGTTCAGATTGAAAATGTGGCTCATTCTGATTCACTTTTCCTTTTTTGATTTTTTGACGTGCTCATATATTCAAGTTTTTGCGAGCCCCCATTCACGACCTGAATATGCCTTTCCACCAATAAGTTTTTCTACAGTTTGTCCGCGGGTGACGGATTGTCTATGGGAAAGTGTGGCTCCATTTTTAAAATCTATTCATTCATATTCATTCCATATATCTGGATAAATTATAATAATTCACTAACCTGAATTAAGGCCATTTGGGGATGATTTCCCTTACTAACCATGATTCCCAGTGAGGTCGTAGTGAGGCCGTTATAATTCACCCAGATATATAAAGTTCCACAGGGATCAAATCAAGGATCATTGTGTGATCCAAGCCTCTTACAAGTTGTGAGACAGTGTGTAAGGTGCAGGTCCCTTAAGGAGCAGCATCCTTGTGTTGTTCCCTTGGAAAACGTATTAGAATCGTCTCTAAAAACGCCCAACAAATTGTGTATGCTGTATGCACATCTTAAACCCCAGCTGCAGCACCAAGGCTTTTGAATTCCCATTACCTATCCTGGAGGCGCAGGGAAGTCTATGTTTGCAACAATTCATCATGAAGGCTATGAAATTTAAGTCGTCTGCTGAAACGCCAAAGCTCTGTGTTCGAGGAAGTCTTTTCGGAAGGCACGGACCTGCGGCGGGGCATCAGTAGGGAAAAAATGAGCAACTGTTGGGCTGTGGGCACAAATTTATGGCATACTCGCCAAACACATCCAAATGTCCACAAAATTCAAGATGAACTCACCTTATAAACATAGCCATTTATGCATCGTAGTCGTAGTTCCAACCCCTTCTTGTCGGATCTTCCAATTTTTTCTTGTCGGATCTTCCAAACCCATTGTTTTAGGTGGTTTCTACCCCAGCTCTTTTTTGGGGATGGTGCACAAAAATGCACCAAGTCTGAGGATACTTCGAAGCCCAAGCTCTCCATGTTCGGCCAGAATTTCCCTGTAAATGCCTATAAATTGGGGCATACTTAATTACAATATATATATATATATAATTGGCCTCCATTGTTTAAACCAAACCCCTCTTCAATATTGGTCAAATCCCTAGCTTGATAGTAACAACATCTCCTGGCCGGTCAAATCTCACCATACGGCCATACGGCAATCGACACATCGCGCTGCACCTCGCTTTCCAAATCCTTCACGTGCGGCTAGGACACAGGGCAGTGCCTGTGGGATAAGCCACAGTCGACTTACCCTCTGGTTATTTAACATAGCTATGGAAAATGGCCCATTTATAGATGATTTTCCCAGCTATAAACCTCCATTTATGGTTGGGATTTTCCAGTTCGCAAACTGTTAGTCATAACCAGATGGTATTGACCAGGGTTATTGTCCAGTTACTAAGTGGAATGATCCTCCTACGGCCTATACCAGTGATGCATGATAAGAAATGACATGCGAATTGTATGCTATGGTGATTTTTTGGGACTAATTGGCAAGATGGTGCAAAGAGAAGGAATAAAAAGAAGAAGAAGAAGGAAGAAGAAGAAAAAGAAGAAAAAGAAGAAAAAGAAGAAAAAGAAGAAAAAACATATCTATATGATTTATAGGCTATATACTATGATTATAAGCAGCTGTTTTCCTCCATAGACGATGGCTTACAAATTCACCATTCGAACCATCTTCCGGCTGCCGACCCATCTCATCAAATGAACAAGATACAGCGTTACCACTCAAACACATTTTAAAAAAATACTCTGACACCTTAAAAAAAATGGTAATCCCCAAAGACAAAGAACAGTAACAGCCCATTAAAATATATTAAAATTGTGGTAAATTCCTGCAACCTATGCATTTCTATATGTTTTTTTGGGGAAGGTCCTATCACATCCTATCACCTAGATCCAAGCCATCCGGACTGAAACTGGCACAAGTGGCGTATACATGGGATCAGAGCTGTCCTGGCGACACTGGAAGATACAGATTATCCATGATTATCCTCCACTAAACTAAGATAATCTAAGATAGCTATGAAACATGGATAAAACTGGCACAAAGACATCTACAAATCAATCAATGGATTGGTTTAAGGGAAAATCTACAGGAAACCATAGATTTTCCCATTAAACATGGGGCTTTCCTGTAAATTTTCCCTTAATCCAATCCATTGAATCAATGGTCTTCCCATGGGGTCAACATGGTCAACCCAGTCCTGAGGCTTCAAGGACGAGGTGTTCTGCATGTCCTGTGGCCGTTTAAAAAACCAGCACGCCCTAGTGACTTAGTGGGACGAATGGCACATGAAAAACGGTTGTGAAAGCGTCACAAAAAGCATCAAAGTGAGCCATTCATGACTATTAATTTTGTGGTGCTAATGTAAATTCATAGTAAAAAGCTACCATGGCACGTATAATTAATTTTTATATCTATGTCTATAAATAGTATATCTTCACTACGTCCAGATTTGGGCGACAATGGCGGAGTTGTATGAGCGGTTGATCCTCATTGTTCACATATATGTTTACCCCACCAATGAATGAGGAAATTCCTCACTTTCAGTCAAAAATAGATCGAATGTTCATCGTCACCTCTAATTTCATTTGGATTTGCTGCTTTGCCAAAAGGGACCATTTATAATCATTTATAATCTATGAACAAAACACATAGTCCCAGTAATTTCCCCAAATGTTTGAGTTACCAATGGCAAAATAAAACATAATGTTCAGCAAATATCCAACATTTGCAGGGTGGGCTTACCCTGAGTAATCACCGTAATGAAAATGAACATCATAACATTCATTCGTAACCAATGTGGTACCCAATCGGATACAGTAAACTAAGATAGATGTGGAAAACCCATAGTTTCCCATTAAAAACATGATCTACATTCATGGTGTCATGGTGTGTTTTTATGATGTTTTTTTACGTCTATGTAAACGTTTACAGGAGGCAAATCTCCTTTTTGAAAAGCCTAGTCAAACCAACAGTTGTTTTTTTGGTTGAACAGTTGAACATCTATAGGACAATCATGGATTTTCCCATCATATATGGAGCTTTTCTGTCAATGTTCAAACCAATCCAAACCAGGCATTTTTTCATGGGCGCCATGTCCAGTGCTCGGCGGCACGGTACCTCTCTGCTCAGGTCCCAATCCTGATCCGCCATGGCCATTTTGACGCTGAAAAAAAGGCGTGAAAGATGGGGCAAAGCGCCTGACATGTTGAAGAAATGATAACTCTGATGATGAAACAGGATCATATCATATAAAACATACATTTTTTTGAACAAAAAAACATATATATAAAAACCCAGCAAAAAAAAACAACATATGGAACTCAGTAAGAGGATCATAGGTGACCTTGAAAATACAAATTCCGATGCTTTTTGTGTTGCGCGGCCGAGGCTGTCAGAGGACGGCATCGATGGCTGGTGCACCATGGGATGTTCCCCTCCGATAATCAAACATGGTTGGAAATTGCCCCCAATTTATGGCTGATGTTCAGTGATTTTCATTGATTTTCCCATGAAGACATATTAAGACCATTTAAAAACCTCCATTTAGTTCAAGGATTTTCCCAGCCATGTTTGATGATCGGAGTTTCCAGCTCCAACTCCTCCTTTTTAAAATCTTTTCTTCGCCCGGAAACGTCGCAGGCACGAGCGTGTGACCTAGCTCTGCCTTAGGCAGAGCCGAGGAATCTGAGAAAAGCTGCTTTGAGCTCCAGTGAAACTGTGCACCTTGGTGATGTCAACTGCATATGCTGCATATGCTGGAAGCCTATAGGATCCTACCAGGGCATCTGTTGGAGTGCCAAGGACTTTGGCGAATGAGTCCATGAAAGTTGCCGTCTTGGATTTTCCGTCGAATGATTACAAACAAGTTAGACCAACAAAAGGCAAGTCAATGCAACAATCAGCAAGTGTTGGTTGTGCATGTACCAACCGGCCTGTCCTGTCAATAACATGATCTATGATGATCTATGATGATCTATGATGATCTATGATGATCTATGATCTAGAGCAGACAATCTGAAGTGACCTGCATCATACCTGTTTCCACGATACTGCTGAGGTCCTGGCAAAAACTCTTCCCTTCCCTCTTCCCTTCGCCAAGGTGCCCAATGATTGGGGCTCCGGTGCATCCCGAATCCATGGATTGCTGCAATGGAGTCCTTTGTTTGTCAATCTGATGATTGTCCAAGTGCCATGTCTGTGTATCAACATATCGGTCTATACTATACATATTTCTGATCCCCAAATCTTCAAAGTGCTTTTTGCCATCTCATTAGAATCAATGTCATATACTGTTATATTCCCAGTATATCTGTATTACATAGTTGGTTTCACTTTTTAAAGCCAATCATGATGATTGACTTAAACAATTCCCACCATGTTTTTTCCAGGATTTATCTCATGATATCCCCACAACAGATCCCAAATGAATGGCTGGTTACCCCAGACCCCAGATCCACCGTCCCGCCGTCGCCTAGCCGTCGCCTAGCCGTCGCCTTCGTCAGCCCGTGGTCCGGGCCCGATCCGTCTTGACCTCACCGTCTTGGGCCATAAATTTATCACCCATGACTGGGAACGGTTGATACATACCATGGTTTATAATACTGGGTATACATACCATACAATAATAAACCACTCATGACTAGGGAATGGGAATTATACTAATACCACCTATAAAAACCATAATATAATGTGGGTAAAACAATCATAAACCACTCATGACTAGGGAATTATACATACATAGCACCTATAAATTTATGGTGATGGCTGGGGGATGGTGCAGATGGCATTGGGAATCAACCCCCAAAGTTATATGCTGGTCGATCAGGGCCCAATCATCCCACTGATAAACATGTGTACATTTGAGAGCAAGTCATTCTTCGATTTATTGTGGCTTAAGTGCTTAAGCCAATAAAAAAAACAATTGGATAGACAAATTTCGAACCCATCTGCCAGCTATAAATGCTTGACGATTACATGTTAGTGCTAATAACCCAGAATTCTAGTGTGGTTTAAAAAAAAAACGTGTGATTGGGAAACTTCCTAGCACCTTGGCTCAGTTGGCTCCCCATTTGGCTTCCCATTTTTTGCTTGTGAAAAGTTGGTGGCCCGTTCCATGATACACCCATTGCTCCGTTCTCAGTTTCCTCCACTGGGTCCAGTAACCAAACATCATACCCATGGCCCAAGTGATACGGCAAAATTCCGACCCAAACATCATAGCGAGTTGCTTAGAAATCCATGGGGATTTGGTGATTCCAGGTGATTTTGTGATAGAAACCCATACTCCATTTAGATTAGATATCCCCTTTATAGAAAAAAAATAAAGGATATTAAAGGCTTGTGCGAAAATGCCATGAAATCACCACAAAAAATCCCCATGAAAGGCCACCGGCCTCTTCAGCCTCCACCTCTACGGCAGCCATCACGTTCCGCACCTTGGAGAGGAGCCAAGCCCGCCGGTTGGGTGAAAAACCCATGGGGATTTGGATGTGGGTCAAAATGGAAGACCTAGGGGACCACAGATGTTAGTCTAGTTTAGTATTCACCATCCAATTATTGGGGTACCTAATTTTGACCCATACCCATTTGGTGATTTTGTGTCGTGTCTAAGGTGTCTAAGGACTTCTATTTTTGGAGATGACTGACCTTGGCGAAGTGGGAGTGTCAAACAACGTGGAAGGTGGAAGAAGGTGGAAGAAGGTGGAACATGCACTTTGAAATCACGAACCTCAGATCTGGTTGGATTATGACTTTCCAGATCGTCAAATAGTCACATCATAGTGGTTTTTCTAGGTTTTTCTAGTGGTTTTAATAGTGGTTTTCATGAGATATCTGCTTGGTGCTTTGGAACATGACTGGATTATTTTCTGTCAATGAATTATGTTTCCAACCACTGGAGGTCAGAATATTCCCATTCTGGTGACCATTGGCGACCATTGGATGTCTAGGAACCACATGTCATGAAACCACCAAAATTGTCACCGTTTAAAAAACAGTTTCATATGACAATGCAATTTAATATGTGTATACATATATGCATATCTCATTCAATCATAGTGAGAACTGTAAATGTTGAACATTATATAAACACACTATGTTAACAATCATATCTGATCATATGATATAAATAATGGATATGATATGATACAATTGTACTATTGATATACGTACAAGTATATATGTATACAATATATTGTACATTTTGATATATATATATATATAATATTATACATAATTATATCAATCATATCAGTATTTATCCACACTGACAACCTTTCGTGAGGTGATTTTTGAAAGGTAGGTTCTCTGCCAGCGCCCAGCCTCCATAAGGGGATGGGTTACTTGATGCTGCTCGGCTCCCAGACTGCATTCAGATAGCCCACCTGAGTCCCAGAGTCCCATGGCCGTTCTGGGCTTAGGTCCGGATAGGTCATTGCGTTCAGACCAAGAAAACCCGTAAAATGTGGGCGATTTTTGGGTGTTCAACTCTCCATCCGATTTTGAGGGTATAGTAAAATCAGTAAACAAGCTTGATCCATATCCGTTTTCAAGGCGATGTTCATGTCTGAATACATGCATCAGCAATCAGTACTCATGACTCATGGCTCATATTTTCGGTGGCAAAAAAGGTGGGTTTTTTTTCCATTCAAGGTGGCACTGGCATTCAATCTTTATGGCTGAGATCTCCCAGCTGAAATTTATCCAAGAGACGAAGGTGATGGCAATGTCTGGAGCCTTCCATGGCTGAGATACAAAGGGGGAAGGTGTGGTGACCTGGTGAACCTGAGTTGTACCTGTCATTTATACCTCATAATTATTTTTCTAGAGTAGAAAACCATCTGGTTTTCTAAACACTGCAACGGATAGTTTATTTGTGCAACCATCTACTGCTACATATAATTATGTAGTTGCAACAATAAAACATATTTATTGTGTGCGAAATGAAAACGCATCCTGCATCGCAAAAACGACGGGTAAAAACATCATCCCAGTGAGATCACCGGAAGAGTTTTCTGCATATGAAAACCGCTTCAACAATCTTCAAAATCTCTGCTGAATCTCCATTCCATACTAAAATATATACTAAATATGCTTGATCCCTGAGTCATACTTGCATCTTCCAATTCTGTGAAAGAGCCGTTTCCCCATAAAAACATATATGGCTGTGTGTCAAACACCATGGTGCTCTTCTGTTCACATCAAAATAGCTGGTAAGTGGATGTTCATTCATGTTCATTCTCCCAAGAGTTGTTTAGTAGATTTTAATGTATATCCGAAAAATAAGACTTTGTCTGTGGTTGGGAAATTCCTAGTAGCTCCTTGGAATTGGGAGTGTCACTACACCTCGAAAGAGGTCACTATTTATTTCAGTCTTCCCTATCTAGTTTTGTCATTGTCCCCAAAATATGGTACTGTACCCTAAATTCATTGGTTACTCATCAATGCCCCTACTTGAAATGGAGATTTCAGAATTTTGAGGCACACTCATCTGGAACGTTTGTGGCCAAGCTCGGTGATGAGGGTTGGAGTAAAGTGTCAAGGATTCAAAACTCCAGGTAAACCTCATGACGAGGCCCTGTTTCCAGGAATGTTAGTTGGATAATGGTTCATGATGGTTCCTCCATCATTTCCAGGTGTTTCAGATAGCTTGAACCCATGGTAAACACTTTTTTTTGATGATTAAAGCCTTTAACTCTAACTATCAAATAGACAATCCCATCATTGGAGCCATAGTGTTAACTAATGCTAATTAGATCTTACATTAACTTCACATTAAATCATCATTCAATGGTATTAAATGGTTGGTAAATCCAAAAAACATATTCCATTTGTATAGCTGGTTAATCCCCTCCTTGAGCGCTAACATAGATGTGGAACACATCATTATTTTAAAGAATTCTTACTAGCTAAATGGCTACTTTTACATTACATGATATGCTTTGGACGATGTTTCATAGCTGTTGCTTTACCAGATACTTTTTTTTCTCCAACCCTTAACTGGTTGGTGGTTTCAACCCCCTGAAACATATTAGTCAGTCAGATTGGATCATCATCCCAACTATTGGGGAACATATTTCAGCCATGTTCCAAACCACCAACCAGTTAAAAAGACCACCGTTTCGGACGATGCCTGCTGCACTGAGCGCATGTAGATTCGCACCGGTTCATCCGTGATGGGGCCCGGGATCAGCAGCTGCAGCAAATGGACCCTGGAGCCCAGAGGAAACCTTCTGAAATCTGTGGGACCAAAAGCCGTTCAATGGGCCAAATAGAGTCTAGACACACATGAGAAATATATATATGTGTGTATATATATACAGTATATAGAAATATATGTGTATATATATAGAAATAATATACATACATATATATATATAATATAGAAATATGATGAAGTATGTGAAGATCTTGGGCACAGGTGAAAGAAACTGCCATTTCAGCAGGGAAAATACTGGAGAAGTAAAGGAAAACTTGGGAACATGGCAATGTCGATGGTGAACATGTTGAAAACATCTGAGAAAAATTGAGAAAATATAGGACAAAGATGGAACACTTGTAGTTTCAATGGGGAAAATGTGGGAAAATTGTGACGAACCAATGGATTTTGGGGGAAACCATCGTAACAAACCCAGCTTTCCCTACTATTCCAACATGGCCAACATATCTCCATCACCCACTACGACCATTTCTGCGTGACTCCTGGGATCTTCTGGGCATCTATGGTCGGTATGGTGGAGATAAAAATCGTCCGATTTAAGTGTCATCGTATGTCATCGTCCAAAACCAAGGCTTGCAACATTTTGTGTTGGTTTCAAATCTGGACAATCCATATTTTCCGTGCCCAAGTGCCCATTGAAATTGTCTTCAAATCCTGTGAAGCCACATGTGTTGATAAAACCTGAGCTTCATCTGATGTTTCTTGGATTCAAATATGGTCTTTAAATGTCTTTAATCAGGGCTGCGCCCAAAAACCCACAAGAGGATACAAGAGGGAGAACTGGGACATTACGGGGCAACATGAACAAATAAGGCCCCAACAGGCTATGAATTGCATTGGGATAGATTGAAGCAACCCTGAATTCTTCGTCAAATCCAATGAAATCCCACAATTCCATACTACACATTTCCATACATGTCCGTCCATACATGTCCATACATTTCCCTGAAATGTCCAGTTGTTATGCGGTCAAATAGTCAGTTACCAGAACCGGTAAAAAGGGTTTCCCCCCGGTACCAGGCAATCCCACATGTTCTGCGCCAGGTTCATCTGCGTGACAGTGCCATCAATCCGGGGCTTCAGGGACATCCAGGTCCTCTCTCAGGCCAATGGATGGAAAAAAACACCACATGGCCATAGTGGTAACATGATGTAACTTACTTAAGTTACTTGTAAGATCTTGTAAGTGTTTCAAGATGTTTCAAGATGTTTCAAGATGTTTCAAGATGTTTCATGATGTTTCAAGATGTTTTATGATGTTTCAAGAGTGTTTCATGAATTTTGTTTATGAATTGTTTACATGATCTCTTTTGGGAGTTCCAAACAATGTATGTGGGGAGACTGTCCCATTTCATCTTTAGTTCGGAGTTTCCGCTGATAAAAATCAAGGGAGGATATCAACGAATCCCTACTGGAAGACTGGTGTCCGTTTGTGCGGCAGTAGTGCCCATTGAAACACAGCAAATCACATATAGTTACTCTCAGTGTGGGACAGATTTGGACAGCACCTACTTACATGCATCTGCAATATGTACCTTTCGAAGCTCAACTCGATTGCAATTCGCATGCTGGGATGACATGAAGTAATGGGCGACTCTTAAGATTCTGCGATGAGGCATTTGGCATTATTTGGCCACCCCAGCTTGGCGGAAAGAAACACCACAATATACCACACTCTTCCCAATTCATGAAAATCGTTGGGCCGTTGGGGATGCAGCAAGCAGGTGTCTTTTCTGCCACGTTCGGCCGGGCCAATTCCGGCGGGTCTTCTGCATGCCTTGACGCGCAGGTCAACCAGCCAAAGTCGCTTCAACGGTGCCCTCTTTGCCACAAAACAGCCGGCAGTTCGCGGGCGCGTCGCTCTACCCAGTGCGAAAGTGTCTGACACTGTGACGCCCACAACATACCGTGACATACCGTGACATACCGTGACATACCGTGACCCAAGTTGCTAGATCAATTGCCTGAAGAGCGTTAAAAAGGGGCAACAAAAGGGATGTACTTCAGTTGGCTTTATCTGAAAATCGGGTACCACAAATTCACTAGGTTATCATCACCTTCGCCATTGAAATTGTCACTTTGGCGTATCCGGCGAATTCCTCATTGGACAAACCCAATGAGTTCTCAAGCCATGCAAGACTTTGGTGGGCCACGAGGTTACCTATATACATCACAATGCCACCTGGTTAGCATTCACGGCCCATTCAGATTTGGGGTACAAGTAGAACCCAACTCCTACTCATGTCACCCCCGGATTACAAAGTGTTATAAATCCCAATTGTTCACATGCACAATTTTTCGGTATATACAGTACTCTCAAAGTTACAAATATTTACTAAGTCTGTTGAACTGGCATACCTCCATATGAATTACCCTCTGGTAAACTAACATAACTATGGAAAATCACCATGTTCAATGGGTAAATCAACTATAAATAGCCATTTTCAATAGCTATGTTAAATTACCAGAGGGTAACAAGTTTTCTACATGGGTTAACATGAACCAATATAGGGATCCCATGACCAGTCTCCGCACGGTTCGTTGTGGCTGCGGCTTCTTGGTGAAGTTGCTAGACAGGCACGGGTGAGAATTGGTTTGACATCTATATGCATTTTATAAAATATATTTAATAATATATATATATATACACAAATGATATGTATATATATATTATATACACATAATAAATGTATATATATATACATAATATATATATACACAATGTGTATATATATAATGTATATATATATATATGTATATACATATATATATATAATTATACGTACATATGAGCATGTATGTAAGGTACAGTAGAGTATATGCACTATTCTGTATTATGCAACTTGGATCCGGGAGATCTTGGGAGTATCCGAGTACCCGAGAAGGGCTGATGGGTCTGAAAGAATTGGAAGTGGAGAGCTTAGAGCTCAAGATTTATGACCCGCTTGGGCTTGGATGGAATCCAAATCGATGAGATAAACATAGATAAACATAGATAAACAATGAAGAAAACAACAGTCAAAAAAGAGGAGGGAAAAAAAAACGTGAAGAAAGGGAGGGAACACATGCTGAACAATGATGAAACACATGAGGAAAACCACGAGAAGAAAATGATGATCAAAATCATGTGAAGAAGAGGCAGGAAAAAACGGATGCAATCAAGCACACGTGAAGAGAAATAAGAACACAATGAAGAAACATGGTAGGTTAAAGAACAATAACAATAGTAGAAAAAAAACATGAAGAAACATCAGCTTAACATCCAGAAGAAGCGAACAAAGAAACAACACATAAGCGATAAACAAATAAAGCTACAGCTAGCAAATGGACAGAAAATGACTGTGGCCCACAGGCGCTCCAAGGTGCGAGTTTTCTTAGTCAACATTTGAAGGTTTCGACCCACCCAACGCCATAAACAATCCCCATTTCTGGCTGATGGCCTTGAGTTTGAAAACCTTGAACTAACCCTCCTGGTATCCAGATAATTCCCCGCAAACTAACCATGATTCCAGGGCTAGGTCACAACGAGGTGATGATTTTTTTTCCCAGATATGATACAATGGTATTAATGGGCACCCCAATCATTGGATGCTTCATACATGTTCCTACTTAAAAAAAAAACACCCTTAAATCTGTGGTCCCCCAGGCTGCCAGGTCGATGATTTATCCACACAGTATTTATCCATAGCTATCACTTGCTGCTGCTTAGTAGGGAATGGGGGAATGTTCCCAGTCATCACTACAGTAGTAATCATATATGTAATAATCATCCCAGCAACCCCCATTCCCATCCATTCCCTACGTTTAGCACCAGTAAGAAAAGCACCTGTTCTAACTTCTGGGATGCAACGACGTCAAACCAGGCACGACGACTCCGCGATGTGATGACATCTCTCCAAGATGGTCTCCAGAACTGTCGCAGTTTCAACGCGGGAGAAGCATTATTTGCACCCGGGAGGGAAAAAAGAACATTGAGTCATATTGATGTTCTACAAAAAAAAGCCAAAACAATCCAACACACCTGAAAATCCTTGATTTGCGCGACAGGTATATAGAGAGGCATCGCCGCTGAATTTCGCTTCGTTTTGACTCGAAAAAAGCTTCGGCAGTCGTCTTCCAGGATACCGCACTTCCACAGCTCTCCAAATCTGCGACAGATCTATACAGCAAACCTGTGCATAGTTACAAATTCAGTATATTTCATTTCAGCAGAGTTCCAGGAGGTGTTTATGTCATTTGGGAGGAAGGGATAAGTCAATTTACCATCCAGATCAAAATTGAAGTGCTCCATTTTTAGTGCTGAGTGGCTACTTCGCGACTTTTTCCTCGGTAAAAACACTCATGCCTACTGCACTTGACCCCAGTGCATCACATGCGTCCAGAATGCTGACTTGAGCAGTCCCAGTGGAATGAGAACCCCGATAAGAAGTGCTTAGTAGTTCACTTCCTGTACATCCCTTATCAGTCAAATCCCTTCATAAACACACCAAATTCCACCACTTGTGCTGTTTTCTCTCAACTATCAAAACAAAAGGAATTGACCATGTTACACTATTTTTAATTGTTACTGTTAGATTTACAACAATGTAGCAAGTGGTCCCAGCAAGTCAACTTGGCAACCTGGAAAAGTGGCACGCCACCAAAGCTTCTTCCTCGCCATCCCGCTATGGCGGCATGACTGCTGCGCTGGTGTAGCCGGCTGCAGTGGATATGCTCCGGAGTTCATAGGGGACGAACCGTCAGGAACCCTCCAGAAATCAAACGTGGCAATGGAACATGTCCAATTTCTAGTTGATTTTTTCCAGCTGAAAACCTCCATATCCTCCATTTTGATCAGGGGTTTTAATGGCTATGTTGGATTGCAGAGGAGACTAATATCTGGTTTTCATGCCAAGTCCATCGTCATGGCGATTCGGCCAAGCCCACCACAAAAGCTCCAATAATCTACTCGACCTATCAAGGGCTGAATAAGGCGTTTTTATCACCAACAACCACGTTTATACGGAAACCTGAACCATCTATTGCACACACAATTTCAACCTGAATGCAGTTTTTGAGCAGTTTCTCCAGTATTAGCCTTCACTTATCTAAAGGGATTCTGATCATTCACCCAAAATGGAAAAATGCATATTGTGACGGACAAACACTTATCCAATTTTTCCGATCGCACACTTAGAACCGCTTGTTTAAGGGGTTTTTCCCCAACATATCACTTAGAACATCTCCACATTATCCATCCTAAGGTTCAAAGTGTGGAGCTTTGCAAGCCAATGGTTATTTATCTACAATTATCAAAACATCGAGTCGGCGCACAATATAGGTCCTCAAGATCTGCTTTGATCTTCAGGAGGAAGGGTTGGCACTGGAAAGTAAATTTAAGATTAGTTTCGAGCGTCAGATTGCGTAAAGGAAAAGTAACCAAGGTTCTCCAATAAGTGGGGTAACCCCCACATTTGGAACACCTACCTCCCCCTTTGGGCTCCTGAAATTGTTCACGTCTAGACTAGTCTAGACTCAGTCTACAGTAGGCAATAGTTTTTAGAGTCAGAAGGGGTCAAAATGAAAGAAGTAACTGCAGGATGTTTTACTTCAGTTGTATACCGGATCGGGTAAGTCTACAAATGTATACAAATGTAGCATCAGGCGGGGGAAGTTCATGCTTAGACTTAGACATACGTATTACAAAGAATTCATTTTTTCAACGCGTTGATGAATGAAGCCACTCGTAGCATACATAATGTGATGTTCTAAATCTTGGTGCATTCCCCATGGTATCATTTCAAAGGCCTTCACTCAGTTGTGAAAAGAAATCAAATCTTTGAACTAATATGTGTTTTCTTGCACTGTATTCCTCATATCTTGGGGGAGGTTCTAAGTGTGAAGCTTTGCAAGGGCACGGAGTGATTCGGTATCAAAGCAAATGTTCCAAGTGTGAGAGTGGTGTGCGACAACTAGTTGTTTTTTCAAAATGATATTCTATGTTATTGTTCTGTACATTCTTGAACCGTGTTTGATAAATCATCAAGACATTCTTCCAAGGTTCTCCATAAGCATTCTTCTAAACATTCACTTGTTTGAATTGCATAATT